AAACTAAAAATAGTCGGCAGAGTAAAATATATGTATAATTCATGTTATAATATGTGTATTATTGTTTATAATTGTATACATGCTAGGAAAAGTAAAAAGTGAATCCGGCCTACTATTTGTGTAAAGATCCCTTCCTTTTTTTCTCCTCGTCAGCTTGTGAACTTTTAATAACTCATGCTGCACATTCAACAGGAAGGGGAAATGATGAAAGCTGTGGTGTACTTGGAACTTGCCAGCCGTGCTGGCCAGGCAGCAGCTGATCCCGTGAAGAACGTTATATTTCAACAGATGTCCAATTCTTCTCGTGATCGAGTTGTGCTTCTTGCCAATAATTGGCGTGCTTTACCTTCATCCCACTGATACGCTGCTATTGTCAGCTTCCTACAGCCTAATCAATGTCTCACTAAACTTCTTGAAGTTTAAGTGTAATACTATAAGATTTTTTTCCCGCATTTGCATGTTCCTTAGTTCGTTGTGTGAGACTGCAATAACTAATACTATAAGAGGGTTTGAGCCAATGCATCCCTATTAACAATGGCTTAGAGTTAAATAGATATTGATGTCGCTTGTAGAAAACGCCATAGTTGTTAACTCAACACGACATAAGCTCGTAATTTCTTACGTGGTTGTATGACTGCTACATCATCAAGACCGCTGTGCTTTCGATGTGGCTGTGTGGTTGCTTGCTACATCATCAAGTTTGTCGCCCTCTTAAGTTTCTTGCGGCACAACATGCCACGTGGGCCGATCGTCGTTTGTATATATTTATATTCATGTTTCATCCTGTATAAATGTCGTCGAATGTTATTTTCGACGTGACAATTATGGAAATAGATAGAGCTAAAGGATAACATTTTTACTGAGAATATGATTTGTCAAATATTAGTCAACGAGACAAATAGAACTCTGGAAACATTTTCCTCTTATCAAATAAACTGGTATACTAGCAAATGCCCCTCACGTAATAATATTAGTATGATGAGATCACTTGTAAAATTCCTTAAATATTTAAAGCATCGTGCAAAAGTTAACGGAATATTTTTTGCCAGAGGAAGATTTTAAAATAAAAGATGTCGTGAACATGATTAGATGATGAATAAGAAACGGAGCAAAACTTGTAGCTATCTCAGATTCCCTCCACCAAGCCTTGCTCAGGGCATCAATGGAGGAAGCGAATGTGTCACTTTTGACATCAAGTAATTCTGATGCAGATGACATCGAATTACCTAACCATGGGCGCAGAATCCTTTACCTGCACATCATGGTGCAAGCTTTGTGGGGATGATGCCTAGTGACATGGAGTATGAGAATCCTCTCGGGAACTTGCTAACTGAAGTTAATGATGTTGAAATTGGAGAAGGCTCTGCTAATTCTGATGAGCAAATTTGTGGCTAAATGTCAAGCCTAGCAATTGAAAAGTCATTCCCTCCTCAGTAGGAAGGAATCTTGGTAGCTTGTTTTGATGTTTTTTCTATTATCTAGGTTATTTCAGGGTTGTGATCCAGATTTTATTTGTTTTATTTAGTCAAACCCTTCTATCCCTCCATTCTGTTTGTGTGAGTCTTGTCTTTCTGTTCTGTTGCTATTTTCATTAGCCGGATCCGTGAGTTTTCGAGGGAGACCAAGAAGCTGTGGTACCTTGCTGCTCCAGCAGTTTTTACTTTGGTTTGCCAGTATTCAATTAGTGGCATTACTCAAATGTTCGCTGGCCATGTCGGAACCGTCCAACTCGCTGCCATCTCCGTTCAAAACTCTGTTATTGCCGGTTTTGCCTTTGGAGTCATGGTATGATCATTTATCCCACATCCCTCTAGCTAACTGTTTATATATAGTATATGCCGTGCGATGGAGTGATATATATATATTGATGATGACATTAACAATTTTGTGACAATGTACAGTTTGGGATGGGAAGTGCATTAGAGACGCTTTGTGGGCAAGCATATGGAGCAAAACAGCTCGAAATGCTGGGGATTTACATGCAGAGATCTTGGATTATTGTAGGTACCACAGCCCTGGTGCTAATGTTTCCTTACATATTCGCCACGCCTCTCCTAAAACTCATCGGTCAAGATCCTGAGATATCAAAATGGGCAGGGAAGTTCGCAGTTTGGATGATTCCGCAGCTCTTTGCCAATGCAATCAACTTTCCCATCAGGAAGTTTTTGCAAGCTCAGAGCAAGGTCGTGGTGATGGCCGCTATAGCAGGGGTTACAGTAGTTGGGCATACTTTGTTTAGCTGGCTGTTGATGCTCAAGATGGGATGGGGACTGGCGGGTGCTGCATTGGCGCTGAATGCATCCTCGTGGTTCATGGTGGTGGCCAATCTCGCGTATATATTTAGTGGGACATGTGGTCGAGCTTGGTCTGGTTTTTCTTGCAAGGCTTTTCAAAATCTATGGGGATTTGTCCAATTGTCTTTTGCATCTGCAGTCATGATCTGGTAAGCTTCTTTGATAATTGAAGCCTTTTTTAAGTTATTCATCTTTGTGATCTTTCCGAAGGGGAGCCTTAGCATAGCGGATAAAGTTGTTGCCATGTGACCAAAAAGTCACGAGTTTGAGCCGTGGAAACAGCCTCTTACAGAAATGTATGGTACGGTTGCGTATAGTAGATCCTTGTGGTCCGACCCTTCCCCAGACCCCGCGCATAGTGAGAGCTTAGTACACCGGGTTGCCCTTTTTTTTTATCTTTGTGATCTTTTCCGGTGCATGCTCTAGTCAAGGCATCCATGATCCCAATCATGCAACCCTGAGAATTGTTTAAGTAACACGAGATCAGGTTGTTTAATAGTTCAAACAACCACGAAGTTATTTTAGACAACCTGAGATTGTTACGACCATCTCAGCTGGAGCTCAGGCTGAACTTCGTTCATTTGAAATGTGTACCAAGTGAGTCAGGTTCCCTATCTGGTTCTTTACAGTAAGTTTGTTAGATCATCAAAACATAAGAAACATAAGGCAAAGACATTGAAAACTCATCATAAATAATCTTATACCTGCACATTCTCCTTCATCAGCACTTCACTCTTCCTATTTTTGTATTGCTTCGTTATGATTAGGCTTCAAATCAAGTGGCTTAGATGTTAACTAATTTTCAAGATTTGTGCAGCTTAGAGATGTGGTATTACATGGCGCTGATTCTCTTTACTGGGTATCTCAAGAATGCGGAAATAGCTGTCGATGCAATTGCTATATGGTGAGAGATCACATCAAAATGCCTTTATTAGATGGCCACATGGAGCTTAAACGTCATTTAAAAATGTCATTTCCTTTTGGACTATAATGATCCGTGTTTAATCTCCTATTGATTATTCACTAAAGTATGATTAATTAAACTTTTTGTTCCAAAAGGAATTTTTTAGAACATAAGAATCAGTATTCTAAGTGTTTCTGATTAGCTACTCCAAAAAGGGTAGCAGAACATATTGCTAATTTGGTAAACTTGTACAGTTCCGACAAAAAGTACATTCATATACGAAAACAAAATGTCCAGCACGTGCATGCAGAAGGCGTTCGCTCTCTTTCTGATTCACCCAGTTATATTCTATTGCAGCTCGAACATTTGTGCGTGGACATTCATGGTGTCTTTTGGATTGAATGTGGCAGTAAGGTATGATATCATTTAGATTTTAAATATTCGTTATATCCCACAACTCTCAGATCAATAAGTACAATATGAAAGGAAGGACGTTCATATGGCAGCATAAGGGTATCAAATGAACTAGGGGCAGGGCATCCAAGAACCGCGAAAATGTCAATGATAGTAGCCTCGTTCACTTCTCTTCTGCTCGGTATGTTCCTGGCACTGGTTCTGCTTGTTTTTCGAAGCAAGTTTCCCCCGTTATTTACAAACAGTAAGGAAGTCCAGACGGTTGTACATGAACTTACACCTTTGTTAGCCGTCACCGTGTTCATAAACAGTCTTCAACCTACTCTTTCTGGTATATTCACTGCCTCTTTAAAATCTTGGTGCTGATTTTAATTTGTTGCTCAATTCCTGGACTCATTAGGAGTAGTGATGGTTTTTGACTGGGTAGAATTATTGAAATTGCAGGAGTGGCCATTGGAGCAGGATGGCAAGCTTATGTTGCATATGTGAACATAGCATGCTACTATTTATTTGGCCTTCCTATTGGTTGTTGGGAATAAACCCTTTACCAAAATAATATTCACGGTAATAAAGCGGAATAATAATGTAGCACCGAGATACGGTAATTAACAAGAATAAAAGAGTAACAATGACACCAAAATTTTTACGTGGAAAACCCTTTTGAATAAGGGAAAAAACCACGACCCCGAGAGGAGCAACTGATATCACTATAGTAAGGAATTTTACACTTTGTAGGTCGGAGGTAAATACTCCAAAGACCACTACAACACTCAAAAGAAATAACCCTCTTTTGATATTCCCACCTCACTACAATATCGCTCACTCTCTATTTTCCTCACAGACTATTTTCTTATACCTTGTCTGTGAAACCTTACTCTTTCTTTCTCTCTTTGTTGGTGTGTAGAAATGAGAGTTGAAGCTCTCCTTTTATAGCCAAAGCTTCACCCTCTAAAGCCTACAATATTTGACAATTTACACACACTTTTCACAATTCAACAAAGTTGGCTACCAAACCAAAGAAATTCAACAAGGTTGGCTACCAAACCAAACTAATTCAACAAGGTTGGCTACCAACCAAACCAAGTCAACAAGGTTGGCTACCAAACCAAAGAAAACTCTTATTAGGCACATGCCTAATACTTCTTCAATGAGATGGACATCATCAATCTCCCCCTCCAGTCTCATTCATCCAGAGGAGGTAGCATTGTCTTCTAGTTTGAGTGCATGCCGACAAGTTCTTTGCATAGCTCGAACTTGTTCCTTGGAACCACCTTGGTCAGCATATCTGCGGATTCTCATTTGTAGAAATCTTCAAGACTTTTAGAGATTCATCATCTACCATTTCTCGAATC